CTAGATGTGTATAAGAGACAGGTCCAAACCGGGGCATTTGGGTTCAAACCCATCGGCAGCTGTCTCCAAGTTGGCTTATCGCGATCTACCTCGATCTCGTGACCGCGGTAACTCCCGACCGCCAAACTCAGGATCCTCACCTAAACGGTGCTAGGGACCGTATATCCGTCGTTGTTGGATGGTTTTTCGAGGGTTAACTGCACTTGCGGGCCTCGGCCTCCCCCGGGGAGGGGAGGAGGGGGGGAGGCGGAGAGAGGTGCGAGACATAAATCACGCCTCGACCGGGAAGTAGCCCCCCACTGGAAACCCCTCTATGTTGTTTTCTTCATTATTTTTTTTGGATTGGACCAAGAAGACCAACTCATCGCTGTAGATATACCATGCACACAATACACACGTCCCACAAATCACAACCAAAGAAAAAGGCAAGAAAGCACGGTGACCGCCGCCGCGCACCGGCCGCCCGCGGTCTCTCCTAGCGACTAGTCTAGTGAGATACAGCAGTCGTAGTAGATGGATAGAGGTGCTGACCGACCTGGCCGTTGACGTCTGAACATGTTGCACGCCCACTGCGGCGTTCTTGGCGTATTACGACTGTTCTTCCCTCGAATCTTGTTGCGTTATACTAAACAAAGTTGATACCTGGACATTGGCCCGGCCGCGCAGCGCAGACTTAGTCGGACTGGTTAAGACGAGCGAAGCGAGCATGTAGCTCGCCGCAGGCGGAAAATATTTGGTGCGTCTTAATGGTCCGGTCGCCCCGGTGGTCTATTCGAGGTGGGGGCATGAATCACAAAAAGGCCACCCGATCGAGAAACAACTATGCATACTGCCGTAGATTAGTCTTGGATGCCCCAGTCGAAGGATTGGAGCTTGAGCAACGAAGTAACGAACTATCATATGGTCCGTTCGGGCAAATATTCACAATCTTGTTTTTCGCGATATCTTTCGAAAAAAACGATCTGGAAAGTGAAACAACTTTGGGCGTGACCGCGGCGTCGAGCTTCGTCGATATCCGATGAGTTTTTGGTGATTGGGTGAAATGCGACATTTTTGACCAAAATGACCCACGGAGCCCCCACCCCCCCACCCCCTCATGACCCCACGGAGCCCCCAAAGTACACCACGACCCCCCCTCAACCCCTCCCTTCTACACGTATATGCCTTCAGAACATCAGTTAAACCGTTGTCAATCCATATTCACATTATTTACACGTTACATATGTACATACATACATACAATACCGCCGTTTACTTTCTACTCAACGCCTGGCTCGTGAAGGTGCTGCAAACAAAGCATGCAGCAATCACATCCTTTCTCTCTAAGCAAGTCCGATACCAAGAGAGACAGCTATAGCGTTGAGTTGGTGACCATGACGAACGCCTCTACCGCGCCTAAACGCGAGAAACCAACACTACAACACACCGCGACATATAGATACGTACCCTCCCCACTCACGCCTGAGCGTGCCCGCCCAACCATTTCCTCAAAAAATTCATCGTGTTGCGCAAAATCCACAGCCGTAGCTGCTCCTTCCGGGAGG